ACAACGCTAAACCCAAAAATCTAAAAACTCCAAGACCCTAGACCTCTAAACTGAAACATAAACTGCTTGCTGCTGTTGAGCCTGGCCCCCAAAGATTTCCTCTCCAGGGAAGGTTTTCCTCAGGCATTGTTGGCTTTAGGGATTAGGGTTAGGCGGTTGAGGGGTTAGGACGGTTTAGGGGTTGGGTGTAAGGTCTAGGGTTAGGCCGTACAAGGTGCAGGGTGAGATTCTGGCAGCCAGCCGAAACATATGCAGAAGCTGCACTTCACCGGACTGACTCAACACGTGATGAGGATTACGGTGAAGGTTATAAGGGGTGTTCTTCAAAAAGTTTGGTAGCACCACCCCATATGCCCCCTGACATTCCACACCCAAACCAATGTAACACGAGTCCCTGCGCCCTCAGGCTTCGCACGAAACACCCCCAAGTTCTCAAGCCCAAACCCTCAACACCTAACCCTGAACTCCGAGCCTAGACCCCAAACGGAAGCCTACATTGCAAAACCTCCCTTGCACCAAGCGACCGGTGGGGCATGGACAGCGCACCAGGGAAGAAGCAAACGCACGATGCCACTGTCTGGCCGTGGGGTATACGTTTAGGGGTGAGAAAAGAAACCCTAAAACCCTCAACCCGCCGGGTTAGCTTTACAAAGAAACCCTGAAACCCTAAACCCCCAACCTAGACCGCCAACTGGCTGGTATTCCCAGTCTCGGCCCATCCGGATGCTGGAGTTGGACAATCGGGTTTGGGATTTAGGGATTGGGAATGTCGGGCTTCGGGGTCTAGGAGTGAGGAAACGACGCGCACACACACACATCAAAAATACCAGCCACAAGGAAAGGCTAGCACCACAAAGGGCCAGGCTTACAACCCAGAAAGGGTCGGGCCTGACGCCTAAACCCGAAACCCTAAACGCCCCCTCGTTGAATCGGCTGAGGGACTCAGGACGGTCGAACTTCCCAGGCACAATGTCTGGGATACGTTCACCCTAAACCCTAAACCCTAAACCCTAAACCCTAAACCCTAAACCCTAAACCCTAAACCCTAAACCCTAAACCCTAAGCCCTAAACCTAAGACCCTAAGACTCTTAGACCCCCAAATAGCCTGAAGACTGACAAAATATCCTGAAGCTTAAATTCGCCACAGGACAGCAGATGTGGCAGCTTTCTCTGCAAAGCCTTGTCTGTCTCCGTGCCCTTCAAGAGGTCGAGAGCGCGCTCGGTGTCGTCCTCACTGACAATCCCCCAAGACCCTAGGCCGGAAACCCTAAGACCCTAAAACCCCATAAACCCTAAACCCTGAACCCCACCAAGCGCCAAAAACCCAAACCGCAGCTCTGAGAGTTTAGGGCTTCTCAAAAGTCATTGACGCCAAGAGGTCCTGGCTCTTGCTGAAGATGTCTCCGACGTGGGTGTGATGTATCTGACGGGAAAACAGTCACCCAAACCCTAAGCCCTGAGCCCTACACCCTAAGCCCCAAGCCCCAAACCCCAAACCCTAAACCCTAAACCCTAAACCCTAAACCCTAAACCCTGAACCCTGAACCCTAAACCCTAAACCCTGCCCCCAGAGCTTTGGAGCCCTGTCGAATTCCCCCAAAACGCGAGGATTCCACCCACGCATTGTGAACTCCCTGAGGCCCCTCATCTGGTGTGTCCCAAAACGGTTTAGGCTTTGACGTCTAGGGTTGAGGTATTGGTAGGGTTTGAGGCTTCAGGGTTTAGGGGTTTAGGTCTAGGGTTGAGGTATTAGTAGGGTTTGAGGCTTCAGGGTTTAGGGGTTTAGGGCTTACCCCTCGATATCATGGTGATGAAGTTTGGAATGATGCCGCCCAAAACGACGGCAGCGCGGGTTTACCCCTCTATAGGAGGTCATTGCCTCCTCAGCACCTGTGGTTTTGGTTTCGGGTTTGACGGCACAGCAGGGGGGGGAGGGGGCTTAGGGTTCAGTGTGTGTGGGGGGGGGGGGGGGGATAGTTATGTAAGATGCCCATATGGGGGCCGCAGCTTATATAGTCAGTAGAGAGCTGTCCAGAAGGACACAGACCCAGAAACGTGAGCCCCATGCCCTCCCCTGAATCATGGGGTTTAGGGTCTAGGGCTCGCGTGCCTGGGGCAAGCGTAGCCCTGAACGTAAAAACCCAAAATGTTTAGCCCGGGCCCCTGAAAGGCCCCAACCCCTAAACCCTAACCCTAAACCCTGAACCAAAAGCCCCCCCACCGTGTACGACCGAAGGCGGTCTGGCTCTCCCTTGGGCTGCGGGACGATGTCCATATCCATCACCTGCAGAAATCTGACAATCGAGCACCCGGTTTAGGGTTTGGGGTTTGGGGTTTGGGGTTTAGGGCGGCTTATTGTGGTCTTCGTCGGGTAGAGCTTTTTGGGCTTTATAGCCTTCGGAGGTTCGGGGCTCAGGGTCGTCAAGAGGCACGGGCTCACCTCTGCTTCGGGCACATGCTTGCCATTTGTACTGAGTATGCTGATTTGGACGGTTTACGAAAGTAGGGGACCCCTAACATCGACTCCCAAATGGTAGGATCACCTTTCGAAATGGACCCCGATAAGGTACCCCCATCTCGTAAACCCCCATTTTGGGCTTTCTTCCAGAGTCCACGCCGGCTAGCTAGGAGAACGGACAAAAATTGGTAACCCCAAACGTCCCACAAACCCCCAAAAACCCCAGCGTGCCAAATTCTGAGGCATGATGCGGTTTTTGGCTTCTCCAGACTGCACGCTTCCGTACCTTCCGCGGAATCTCGAGAACCTAGACCCTAAACCCGCGAGAATCCGCTTAGGTATGTAGGGTTTTGGGGTTTAGCATTTGGGGTTTGGGGTGTAGGGTTTGAGGTTCATGGTCTAGGGTTTTATGAGTCTGAGGCAACCCTAAACCCCTAAAACCCCTAAAACCCCTAAAACCCCAAAAACCCCAAACCCCAAACCCCAAACCCTAAACCCTAAACCCTAAACCCTAAACCCTAAACCCTAAACCCTAAACCCTCGACTCGGCCGGCCTGTGTGCTCATGACCTTGGCAGGGTGGTAGGCTCTCCGGGCTTCGGGGGAAGTCTAGGTACGGGTTCATGGCCTAAGGCTTCGGGTTTAGGGTTTAGGGTTTAGGGTTTAGGGTTTAGGGTTTAGGGTTTAGGGTTTAGGGTTTAGGGTTTAGGGTTTAGGGTTTAGGGTTTAGGGTTTAGGGTTTAGGGTTTAGGGTTTAGGGTTTAGGGTTTGGGTTTAGGGTTTAGGGATGCTTAAGGTTCAGGGTTTAGGGTTTAGGGGCTTATAGGCTCCTTACCAAGTTCCCGGCTGTAAGCCGCAAACCCTAGGATTGAGGGTTCTTTCGGGCTGTGAGCTGCTGAGGCTTTAGGATGTAGGTCGGTTCCTTTTTGGGCTGCTTAGGTTTCGGGCTGCTTGAGATTCAAAAAAAACCCTAACCGAAAACCCTAAACCCAAAACAAAAATCCCAAAGCCCAAAAACGCTAAACCCTAAACCCTAAACCCTGAACCCTGAACCCTGAACCCTAAACCCTAAACCCTAAACCGCACAGCCAGAAGGCGAAGCTCGGCCAAAGGTTGTACTCCGTGCAGACATCATGGAAGTGCCTGGCAGCTTGATGATCCCAGCCCCAAGCCCAACGCGCTTTGAGGGTTCAGGGTTTAGGGTTTAGGGCTTAGGGCTTAGGGTTTAGGGTTTATAGGGTTTATAGGGTTTATAGGGTTTATAGGGTTTATAGGGTTTATAGGGTTTATAGGGTTTATAGGGTTTATAGGGTTTATAGGGTTTATAGGGTTTATAGGGTTTATAGGGTTTATAGGGTTTAGGGTTTAGGGTTTAGGTTTTAGGGTTTAGGGTTTAGGGTTTAGGGTTTAGAGTTTAGGGTTTGGGGTTTAGGGTTTAGCGTTTAGGGTTTAGGATACACCTAAATCCCTTACAAGAAGCCAAGGCCCCAAACCCTGGCACCCATCAGCCGTACACCCTACACGCCAACCCGCAAATCCCAAAAGAAAGGAACACCTAACCGCCCCCCCCGCCCCCACAGCAGCCTGTTTAGCCCTAAAAACCGAACCCAAGAAAACCCTCAAAGCGCTGAACCCTACACCCTTCACCCTGACCCTTCAAGGCGTGCCCCTGAAACGCCCAAACCCCCGACCCCTAAACCTTGCGACCCTCAAAAACACCCTCGGATGGCCCGAAGCTTGGGGTTTAGGGTTTAGGGTTTCGGGTTTAGGGTTTAGGGTTTCGGGTTTAGGGTTTAGGGTTTCGGGTTTGGGGTTTAGGGTTTGGGGTTTAGGGTTTCGGGATTAGGGCTTCTGGTTCACGGGTTCAGAGTTTAGGTGTTCCGGGCTTCGGGCTTAGGGTTTAGGTGTTTAATTAGGGTTTAGGGTTTAGGGTTTAGGGTTTAGGGTTTAGGGTTTAGGGTTTAGGGTTTAGGGTTTAGGTGTTTAATTAGGGTTTAGGGGTGTAGGGTTTAGGGTTTAGGGCGATGGCTCTAGTGGCCTTGGAAAGCCTCAGCACTAAGCCTTAAAACCCTAAAGCCCCCAAAAGCTTAAAGCAGCCAAACCCTAAGCCCTCCACCGGGAAGCTCTTCGGCCCTAACCTGTGCTATTTCTGGGTGACCCCGAAAATAGACCCCAAATAGTAGGATCCCCTTATCATCAGGACCCAAAAAGGGTACCCCTAATCTCGTAAACCCCCACATTTCTGGGTAACCTCCAAGCCTTAGCATCCCTTCAGAGCTCCAAAATCGTGGGCTGGGTCCTGCTAAGAAGGCCTTCATTGCACTGGCACCGAAAACCAAACAAAGAGGGAATGTGGGGGAAACCCTGGCAACCCGCTAGGGTAGCTGACTCTGGCACCCCCCCCCCCCATGCGGGGATAGACGCCGACATTAAACCCTAAACCCTAAACCCTAAACCCTAAACCCTAAACCCTAAACCCTAAACCCTAAACTTCCTAAAGCCCCAAGCATCTTCCGCCGCGCGGCTGAAACGAAACACCCAGCTACCTGGAGTCACAGATCTCCCTCTTTGGGAAGAAAGAAGGCCAATCTCCATCCTTCTTGGTGGAGGATGCCTCAACATACTTGGCAAACAAAGAGTCCGGCAGAGGCTTCGCGGAGGACTTCTTGTGGACGTAGATGGGAATCAGAATTTCGCCACCCTCGTCACGCACTTGCTGAGAGAACCTGGCTTGGCCACTTAACTAAACCCTTTCGAAATTACGTACATGTATATATATATATGTATATAGACATGTATGTGTATATATGCATATATATATATATATGTTTATTTATTTATTTATATACATTTCGTTTTAGGATAGATAGGGGCCCTTCTAAACCCAAAGAAGGAAAACACAAGATATCCCAAAAAGCCAACCTAGAAACTTTCGCAGCACAAAGAGGCGGCGGTTCCCACAAACGACCTCGGCCATTTGAAGCGAAAGGTTTAGGGTTTAGGGTTTAGGGTTGAGGGTTGAGGGTTTAGGGTTTAGGGTTTAGGGTTTAGGGTTTAGGGTTTAGGGTTTAGGGTGGTTTAGGGCGTTGAGGGTTGAGGGTTTAGGTGTTTGGGGGGGTTGCCTTGCATCTCCACAGAGCACAATTCGTTGAGAGAGCCCTATAGGCGAGAACCACAAACTACGAAGAGTGATTCCAAGAGCAGCGAAGCAACCCAAATCTTCGCCTCATCCTCCACGCCCACCAGCGGGGTGATGTCCAGTGGACAGACCTTCTCCTGGGTAGCCCAGTAGCCATAGTAGGAGTAAGGGTTCCCTTTTGTGGGCGGCTGGGTGCTTTTTTTCAGGGAACCTTGAACCAAGGGGTACCAAGTCTCTGAAATCAGATCCTCCAGCAATTTGTCCAGCGGCTGCCCTCTATGTGGGGAGCTCCTAAAGTGCCTGGAGATCTGGGCGTGGCAGAAGAATAGGTCGTCTGGCGGAAGGTACTGCAGCCGATGTCCCCACTTGCCCATCACCTGGCAAGCTCGTAACAGAACATTGGCGCCGCTTGCTCTTGTGCTTCTGTAACCCTTCCCGGCCTACGGATATCTAAAAACCCTAACACCTAAACTCTAAACCCTAGAAATCCAAGAAAACCTAAAACCCTAGACGACTGTTTGTTGAATCGGGCTTGTAAGCGAACCGAAGCCCGACTCAAAAACGGGAATGAAGGCCCACTCAGGGTCCTCGTCTTCTGCACATTGCGCGCCCCATGTACCCCTCATGGAACCCTCTGCGCATCTTTGGGTTTGGGGTTTAGGGTTTAGGGCTTAGGGTTTAGGGTTTAGGGCTTAGGGTTTAGGGTTTAGGGTTTAGGGTTTAGGGTTTAGGGTTTAGGGTTTAGGGTTTAGGGTTTAGGGTTTAGGGTTTAGGGTTTAGGGCTAGGGTTTAGGGTTGAGGGTTTAAGGTTAGGGCTTAGGGGGTCCCCACTTCCCCCCCTGAGAAAGCACCACCAAGTCGCGCGCTCGGGGCAATAGCGCGCCGGATCCCAGTCGCAGCACGTCTGCGTCTTGCGCAAGATCCTTGGTGCCCCCAAAAGCACCTAGCGATAAGAGAGGGTTTAGGGTTTAGGGTTTAGGGTTTAGGGTTTAGGGTTTAGGGTTTAGGGTTTAGGGTTTAGGGTTTAGGGTTTAGGGTTTAGGGTTTAGGGTTTGGGGTGTAGGGGTTGCTGCTTTGGGGCTTTGGGGTTCAACAGGGGTTTCAAGGGGAACCTCGGCCAACCCTCAACGAAAACAGTGTCTCAAAAAGAGTACCATTGGGAGGGCCCGAGGATCTTCAGCTGCCTTGCAGTGCATTCCTTGGCAGGATGCCTTGGCATGCTCGCACTGGCCGCCAGTGGGTAGTTTGGGGTTTGGGGCTTCGGGTATAAGATTTAGGTTTTAGGGGATTTGGGGTTCCCTAAACCCTAAACCCTAAACCCTAAACCCTAAACCCTAAACCCTAAACCCTAAACCCTAAACCCTAAACCCTAAACCCTAAACCCTAAACCCTAAACCCTAAACCCTAAACCCTAAACCCTAACCCTAAACCCTAACCCCTAGGGTCTAAGCCCCGTAAAGTCATGAGGCTCCTCTCGCGGGCGCTTTCCTTCAGCTGGGGCTTTCCTCCAGGATGCTTGCAGCTCTATCTTGCACCTGGCGGTTTTCGAAATTACGGGGCACCTTCTTAGGGTTGAAGGGTTGAGAAATAGGGTTGAGGGCTAGGGCTTAGGGCTTAGGATTTAGAAGGGATGCTTCCGAACTTAGGGGTACCTTCTTGGGGCCCTTCTTCTAAGGGAATCCTACTCTTTGGAAGGTCCTAAATTAATAAGGGCCCGCTTACTTTCGCAAACCCCCCCCCTCTTTTGCGTCGCTATGATTTGGGAGGTCAATGTTAAGGGTCCCCTTGTCTTCGTAAACCCCCCCGACCTCTTTTGCGGCGCCGGTCTGAGGCGATGATAGGGCTTGAGGCTCCCCCGCGCAGGTCTCGAAACCGGGGCTCTCCTCCACGAAGCTGGCGGCTCCAGCTTACACCTTCTGGTTGGAGCGGGCTTCTCCTGGCAGGGGGGGGGGGGGCCAAAACTACTTCACTAAACCCTAAACCCTAAACCCCGAAACCCGAACCCTGAATTCTCCTATCTTTGGGGGGAGCGGGTGGGGTTCCTTTAGACCGGAAGCTCCAGGCCTCAGACTCGACACCTACGATTTAGGGCTCAGGGTCGAGACTTGAGGGACCAACTGCTCCTTGTTCACACCCTAAACCCTAAACCCTAAACCCTAAACCCTAAACCCCAAACCCTAAACCCTAAAGCCAAAACCCTAAACCCCTGAATTTCCCCGATTTTTGGCCTTGCTCAGGTATCTTTTGCCCCCAGCCGAGGCGGTTTCCTGAAACGCCGGCGGCTCGGCCTTGCAGCCTCTTCGAGGCGCCGGGACGTAGTGATCCTTACGTGACGCTGGGGAGCTTGGGTTTAGGGTTTAGGGTTTAGGGTTTAGGGTTCAGGGTTTAGGGTTTAGGGAGTAGGGTTTAGGGTTTAGGGTTTAGGGTTTAGGGGTTTAGGGTGTGATTCCTTGGGATCTTCCCCCTTATACTAACAGTCCTTCATAGGGATGATCATAGGGTCCTAGAATCCCTATTCAGGAGCTGTTAGGAAAAGGGAAAGAAATCCCAAGTGGGGAGCTTCTCCGGGTTCAGGGGTTTAAGGCTTGGGGACTCGGAAGTAGGGTTCAAGAACACCCTGAATGGGGCTATCCTTATGACAACTTGACACAAATGTCTAAGTTCCGTGAGCCGGCAAGTACTTCTCCAAACCCGAAACCCGAAACGTGGTCTTAGCCAGGGAGCAGAAAAAAGTTTGCTGTTTGGCTGCACAAGGCAAGGTACAGTAAACCCGAGAAAGCTTGAAGTTAGACTCTTGCCTGAACCCTTCACCCTGAACCCTCAATTTTCCCAAATATGCCCTCAGTAAGCCCTTCAGAATTAGGGCTTAGGGTTTTGCGTTTTAGGATCCGGGCGTGGCTTCAGCTTCCAGTCCGGGATGTCCAGAGAGTCCTCCGAATCTTCGGCTGCCGGCTCTTCCTTCACAACAGGGCGGCACCTGGGCAGACTGTTTGTCAGGGTTTGGGGTTTAGGGTTTGGGGGTTAGGGTCTAGGGCTTAAGGTTTAGGGTTTGGGGTTTAAGCTTTACTTGAAGCCTAGACCGGGTTTTGGGTTTTTGGGGTTTGGGCTGGTAGGGATTCGGGTTTAGCCACTGAACCGTGGGCCCTAAACCCTGGTTTAAGGTTTAGGCCTGAAGTTTGAACCCTACAAACCCTTCTGAGCGCGAAGCTACGGGTTAAAGGGCTCGGGTTTAGGGGTTTAGGGTTTAGGGGTTTAGGGTTTAGGGTTTAGGGTTTAGGGTTTAGGGTTTAGGGTTTAGGGTTTAGGGTTTAGGGTTTAGGGCTTAGGGTTTAGGGTTTAGGGTTTAGGGTTTAGGGTTTAGGGTGATTTAAAAAAACAATATCCCAAGGGGCATGCCTAGGCACTGGCGGGCTGCTCCCCGGTCTTCAGTCACCTGTAAGAGTCTTGCGGGGGGCCCTATGAAAAACACACCTTCTAGGAGCTAGATAGGCGTTTAGTGATTAGCGTTGAGGGACCCTGCACCCTAAACCCTAAACCCTAAACCCGCAACCCTAAGCCCTAGGGTTCAAATCAAAAAACTTCAAAAAAAAACATCTTTCCGAAGCAAGTCCCAGGCACCTTCTCAAGCGCCAGGCACTCTTGCAAGTGGATGTTCGCCTTGCGCTGCGCTTCAAGAGCGATGGCGTGGGCCTGAATCCTCAGCCTTGGCTATTCAGGGGGTTAAGTGCGGCTGGTTATGGGCCAGTTTGGGGGGTTTAGGGTTTAGGGTTTCGGGTTGAGGGTTTAGGGTTTAGGGTTTAGGGTTTACCGAGTATCTACCCACCCACAATTTGGATCAGAAATTGCTTTCGGTTTAAACATTCAACCCGAGGCCCTGAGCCTCAGGGCTTTGAACCCCCAAACCCTAAACCCAGGAACCGCAACCATGGGTCGGTAACCATGGTACCTGAAACCTGGGCCTTGAGCCCTAAACCGGAGGCCTGAACCCTAAACTCGCCACCCTCAAACCATGGGTGGGGGGTGCTGTCTGCCCACGAAAATTTGCTGGTTGGCAGGAAGAGTCTGCACACGAATTTTGGCAAGTTTGCTGGCCACCCACGAACTCGGCAAATGCCCACGAGTTAGGAAAAACTTGCCACCCACTTGGGCCAGTGAGGTTTACGTACAGAAGAGAGAGAGAGAGAGAGAGAGCGCGAGAGCGAGAGAGAGAGAGAGAGAGTGTTTAGGGTTGAGTGCTTAGGGTCAACCGAGCCTAGGAATAGCAAAGTGGCGCACCGGCTTTCTGTTGTTTACATGACAAGAAGAGCCTGACCCCCTAAAAAGAAGGGAAAATAAGGGCACTACCAGGCATCCAAAACCCTGAACCCTCAACCCTAAGCCCTGAACCCTAAACCCTAAGCCCCGAACCCTAAGCCCTAAGCCCTAAGCCCTAAACCCTAAACCCTAAACCCTAAACCCTAAAACCTAAGCCCAAAACCCTAAACCCTAAGCCCAAAACCCTAAACCCTAAGCCCAAAACCCTAAACCCTGAGCCCTAAACCCTAAACCCTAAGCCCCAAACCCCAAACCCCTAAGCCCAAAGTCCTAAGCCCTCAGCCTAGCAGCTCCATCTTGCCCTTCAACGCGGCATCCTTGGGGCTCCGGAAGGAGTCGTTTGCCGCCGCCCGGAGCTCTTGCCTTGCGCGGGTTTAGGGTTCATAGGGTTTAGCGTGTAGGATTTCGGAGTTTTGGGCTTAAAGTTTAGGGTTTAGGGTTTAGGGCTTAAAGTTTAGGATTTAGGGTTCAGGGTTTAGGGTTTCGGGCTGGAACCTTCAAGGCTTTTGAACCCAAAATGGGTAAAGTTTCCTACGTAGAACCAAGCTGCTGGGCATGCTCCACCCGCTCGTCGGCTTCTTGCCTCACAACTCTGCTTGAAGCTGTCTTGTTTGGGTTTAGGGGCTTAGGGGCTTAGGGGTTTAGGGGTTTAGGGGTTTAGGGGTTTAGGGGTTTAGGGGTTTAGGGGTTTAGGGGTTTAGGGGTTTAGGGGTTTAGGGGTTTTTAGGGGTTTAGGGGCTTAGGGGTTTAGGGGTTTAGGGGTTTAGGGGTTAAGGGTTTAGGGCTTAGGGTTGTGGGCTTAGGGTTTAGGATTCGGGGCTTAGGGTTTAGGGGTTTAGGGGTTTAGGGGTTTAGGGGTTTAGGGGTTTAGGGGTTTCGGGGTTTAGGGCTTTAGGGGTTTAGGGGTTTCGGGGTTTAGGGCTGTAGGGCTTTAGGGCTTAGGGTTTAGAATTCAGGGTTCCAGGCTGTGAACTCACCCATTGTGTTCCGAAACACTAAACCCCTAAAAAACCTCAAAAGCCCCAAAACTAACCCTAAAAATAGCCCACAAAAACCCTAAAAACCGTAAAAAGCCCTGTAAGAACCGTGAAGCCCTTAAAACCCTAAAAGACCCCAAAACCCTAAAAACCCCAAAGCCACAAAACCCCACAAAAGTCCTGAAAGCCCTGAAAGCCCCCTGATAGCAGCCGGAAGACAGCACCTGCAGCGCGTGCACGGCCAGCGCAGTCTGGGCGGGCTCGGACGCCTTAGTAGTCCGGCAACAATAGTTCTAGTAAGGGCGCCCTTTTTGGGTTTAGAGGGTTGAGGGTTTGGGGGTCAGGGTTTAGGGTTCAGGGTTCAGGGTTCAGGGTTCAGGGTTCAGGGTTTAGGGTTTAGGGTTTAGGGTTTAGGGTTTAGGTTTAGGGTTTAAGGTTTAGGGTTTAGTGTTTAGGGTTTACGGTTTAGGGTTTAGGGCTACTTGATGAAGGGAACCTGGAAGCAAAAAAAGTGCAAAACGGGTGCCACTGGGCCGCCAAGAAGCAGCCCCGGCCTCCAGTTTCAGGGGCAACCGGGGCGCGGCCATGGCTGTAGAGGTTTAGGGTTTTAGGGTTTAGGGTTTAGGGTTTAGGGTTTAGGGTTTAGGGTTCAGGGTTCAGGATGTAGGGTTTATAGGGTTTAGGGTTCAGGCTTTAGGGTTTAGGTTTTAGAGTTTGAGGTTTTAGAGCTTAGGGGCTGTTTAGGGTTTAAAGGTTCGGGTTTGGGGCTTAGGCTTTAGTGGCTTGGTCTTGGGTTTAAGTTTTGGGGCTTAGGGTCTTAAAGTTTCGGGGGCTTTAGGGTTTAGGGGGGCCCTTGGTTCACCAAGAACCTAAGAGTCTTGGTGGAGGTGGTGGGGGGGGAGGCTTTGCAAAAGGGGGTTTGAGCGCGGTGTCGCCCTAAATCCAGTGTGCCTTGGCTTACAGCAAACCCACTACAACTTTGAAACTGAGCCTTCGCGTCCGAGACGTGCCCAAAATACAGTTTGGGGCTTGGACCGTAAGGGTAGGGTTCAGGGTGTAGGGTTTGGGGTTTAGGGTTTAGGGTTGTTCGGGTTTTTAAGGGTCTTTTTCGGGCTTTTCGGGTTTAGGGTTTAGAGTTTAGGGTTTCAAGGAAAAGCTCTTGAAGCACCCTAAACCTTGGGTTTGGGCTTTGCACCCCCACGCAGCGCCCGCGAGAACCATGTAGGACCAACCTTGTCAGGGCGGCTTGCAGTGAACTCTAAACCCTAAACCCTAAACCCTAAACCCCAAACCCCAAACCCCAAACCCCACAACAAAGGCCCTAAACCCGAAACCCCTACAGGCCCTAAAGAAGCATAGAAGGCTCCAGATCCCAGAAAAAACATGCCCGGGGCTGCCCGAGGATCTCATCCCGGGTCGGCCAGTAGGAGTACTTGTTAAACCTCAGCATGGGTGGTGTTAATATTACTCCCTAGGTTCCCCCCTGAAATAACCTTAAATAGGCTTCATTCTCCCTAAATAGCCTCAATGATGGTTAAACCTAGGGGGGGAGGGGGGAGTAGTATAGAGGGGATCCATGACTCAGACGCCTGGGGCAGGCGTTTGTGGTGTTGAGGGCAGCCTAGCATCCTTCAAACACACAAAATGACGATGGGAGAGTAGAAGCAACTCACCAAACCCTACATCCTACATAGCCCTAAACCCAAAACCCTAAACCCAAAACCCTTAACCCGAAACCCTTAGCCCTAAACCCTAAACCCTAAACCCTAAACCCTAAACCCTAAACCCTAAACCCTAAACCCTAAACCCTAAACCCTAAACCCTAAACTTCCCTAAGCCCTTAACCTCAACCGTAACCCTAAACCAACCCTAAACCCCTCAAACCCCAATAACAACTCTAAACCCTGCGAGAGACTCTGGAACGTGATCGAAGTCTTCGGGGTTAGGGGCTTAGGGTTTAGGGCTTAGGGCTTAGGGTTTAGGGTTTAGGGTTTCGGGTTTAGGGTTTAGGGTTTAGGGTTTAGGGTGGGGTGGGGGGGGGGGGGTGTGGAGTGTTTAGGGCTTAGGGGTTTTTAGGCTTGGGGCTCAGGGTTGCGGATTTAGGTTTTAGGGTTTCGATTTAGGGTTTAGGGTTTAGGTTTTAGGGTTTTAGGGTTTAGGGCTCAGGGTTTAGCTTTTCCAAAAACTCGTCCGAATCTACCGTCCACGATCGCAACTCGTCCATTCCAAGTTCTAAGATCATACCAGTCAGCTCTGGAGCAGTACCAGGCTAGACCTGCTCGATATCTGTATACCGATAGCGTGGCGTTCCTGCGACATCTCACCTGCGGTCATCCTAAACCCTAAACCCTAAACCCTAAACCCTAAAACCCAGTCCTAAACCCTAAACCCCCAAACCTCCTAAAACCCTCGGAGAAAAAAGGCTCGGAGATTCCTGAGTCCAAAAGGCGGGAGCAAGTTGTCTGCGCCGATGTAGGGCTCCTTAGGTGAACTTGGGGGTTCATAGGCCTTAGGGTTTAGGGCTTAGGGCTGAAGGTTTGGGGTGCAGGGTTTGGGCTTTAGGGTTTAGGGTTTAGGGTACAAGGCTCAGGGCTCAGGGCTCAGGGCTTAGGGCTTCGGGCTTACGGCTTACGGCTTAGGGCTTAGGGCTTAGGGCGTAGGGCTTAGGGCTGAGGGCTTAGGGCTCAGGGTATATGGCTTAGGCTTGAGGCTCTAGGCTTAGGGGTTAGGGTTTAGGGTTAAGGGCTTAGGGTTTAGGCGAGGGTTTGGGGGTATGGGAGGGGTGGATCCGGGTCGCGTGAGGGTTCAGGGCTTAAGGTTCAGGCTTTGTGGCTTTGGGCTTGAAACTTCGGGCTTAAGGGCTTTGGGCTTGTTAAGGTTCAGGGTTAAGGGCGTTAGGGTTTAGGGCTTGGGCTTTAGGGCTTGGGCGGCTGAGGTGCTTTGAAACCATAAAACCCTGAACCCTAAACTCTGAACCCTAAACCCTAACCCAAAAATCCTAAACCCTGAAACTCTAAACCCTAAAACCGCGAAACCCTAAACCCTAACCTGGGCGTATCCCAGGGCGTCGGGGAATTCGTCTTTCATGAGGATTCCTCCGTTCAGCAAGTGCCAGGAAAATAGCTCAGTTCATGCACGTAATTCATGCGCTTACACTGATAATATACGCGCATTCACTTCGTTCTCTCTTTCAGTTTAGGGTTGCACCGCAAAGGCCCGAGACACCCTCGACCCTCTCTTTTGGCGAGTGGCCCAGTCCAACCTTAGCTGGAACAACACCAAGGGGGCGGCAAAGTTCGGAGGACGGCTTCTAAGGGTTAACATGTGCGGTTTTAAGGGCTCTTCGGGTTTAGGGAAAACTTGCTTCGTTGGGGGGGGGGGGGGGGGGAAGGTTTGCCTTTAAAATTTGAGGGGGTGAAGAGTACCCAAGAAAGTTCAGTGTAGAGGTCCCTTACCCCACCCTGAACCTTCTAGGTTCCCCTTCAATAACCTTAATTCGGCTCAAGTATCCCCAAATGGGGAACCTAGGGGAGGTAGTACAGAAGGGGGTAGTAGGGGAATCCATGACATAGGAACAGCTGACACTCGTGAGGATCCAGCGGGTCTAGGGTTCAGGGTTTAGGGTTTCAGGGCTCTGGGTTGAGGGTCTTAGGGATCAAGGCCGTTTGGGGCTTAGGGTTCTGGCTGCTGCGGCTTTAGGGTTTAGGGCTGAGGGGATATAGGGTTAGGGGTTTGGGTTGAGGTGCAGATGGGGTTTCCGAAATGGGTGGGGGGGGGTCCTTTCTCATTGGGCTGGTTCAGGCCCTAAACCCCAAACTCCTCGCTGAACCCTGAAACCCTGAAAGCCTAAAGCCCTAAAACCCTAAAACCCTAAAACCCTAAAACCCTGAAACCCTAAAACCCTGAAACCCTAAACCTGAACTTCCCCTAAACCCGAAACCCTTTTAAAACCCTGACACCAAGGGCGAAGCTGGTACTGGGCACCCTCGGACTGGAGCTTGGACCACTTGTTCCTCTGCCAGAGCTTGGGCGCGGGGGGGGTTTCTAGGCTTTGGGGGATTGAGGGTCGTGTGGCTCAAGATGCTTTCTATACTCCCCTTAGAACCTTAATAAAGATAGTATCTGTAAATCCTCTTGGGTTTTTTATATTTACAAAAATTAAAAACTAATTCCCAAGGGGGGTTTTTGGCTTTAAGGCTGCAGGCTTTGTCTTGGTTGTTCAGGCTTAAGGGTCGATGCCATGAGCGCGCCCTCGGCTCCATCAAAAAAAAAGGAACCCTAAACCCTGTAAACCCTAAACCCTGAAACCTAAACCATAAACCCCAAACCCTAAACCCTAAACCCTAACCCTCGAAGGGTTCAGGTTCAGGGGGTTCGGGTGGAAAAAGGGGTGCAGTTGAAGGGTTGAGAGCTCGGCTTGCTCCCTAACCCCTGAACCCCTGAACCCCTGAACCCCTCAACCCCTCAACCCCCTCAACCCCAAACCCTTCCCCCCTCCTCCCTCGGTCAAGCCAGGCCCCCGGCGCAATCCCGTTCCAAGCGTTGCCGCCAATCTTCCCTTTCCGCCTCGGGTTTGGGCTTGCAGAGTCAGGGCTTGGGGTTTAGGGTTCAGGTATTGGGGCTTTGGGTTTAGGGCAAAGCTTAGGACAGGAGGGTTGAGAGTTGAGGGGCTTGGGGATAGGGGTCGAGGGCTGAAGGTTAAAACGTAAGGGTTGAGGATGGAGCATTGAGAAGGGTCTAGGGTCGAGAGTTCAGGGCTGAGGGGTTTAGGAGCGCGGGCTGTGACAGCTAAGCTTTGTTAAGGGAGGCAGCCACGAACACCGAGAATCCCTGCGATCCAAGCGCATGACAGAAGACCGCAGACGCTAGGGTTTAGGGTTTATGGCTTAGGGTTTAGGCCTTAGGGTTTAGGGTTTAGAGTTTAGGGTTCAGGGTACGGTTTAGGCTTTGCGGTTTAGGGTTTAGGGCTTAGGGTTAACTCTAAATCCTAAACAGATCTGTGCACCTCTGACCTTGCAGCATGGGAGACTTTGAAATACACGGGTCCGACGTGGCAGGGCGACATCGGCAGGGCGTGTAGAACTGAAGTTTATAGGCTACTTTGACCTATTCACCCCCTCAAGTCTTTGGGTTTTTTCGGAATTTGAACTGACAGAGGTCACACAGGGTATTGTGATTGTCGGCACAGAACACACTAGCAGCTTGGACGAGGATCCAGACTCTGTACGCACCATGCAGCTCACATCTAACCCTAAACCCTAAACCCTCAACCCTTGGATGGCCCTTAAAACCCTCTGAAAACAAAACATGGCTGAAGATGAGCCTCTTAAACCCAAGAAGGGAAAATATCGAATGTCCCAAGGGCCTACCTGGAACTCCAGGAACCATCTGCTTAGGTGTTTAGGGTTGAGGGTGTAGGGTTTAGGGTTCGGGTTTAGGGTCCCCTCTCAAATGCCCGACAAGGAGCTCAAAAAGGAGAAAGTCTTGGCCCTGCTTGTGCCACATCCTGGCCAGCCACCAGTGAGCTTAGGGTTTAAGGTTTAGGGTTTGGGGCTTGGGGCTTCAGGCTTGGGGCTTGGGGCTTGGG